TAATTTCATATCCACCTGGGCAGCTCCTGCTGCAGACATTCCCTTTACCAATGCTCATTGCTACTTGTCTGTAACTTGAGTTGTCTGTTGCATTGAGAGGTTAAGCAATTTGCCCATGGTGACACAGATAGTTTATTTCAGAAGCAGAACTTGAACCCAGGCTTTCCTGATGCCAAGATCAGCTACCTTATCCATGATGTGGCTATCCATCCTTGTGCTTCTCAATTCTAAACTGGAATCTAGAATGCAAGCGGTGGTAGTTCCTTTATATTCTTCCCTGGGGAGGACACATTTAGAATACCGCTACTAGGTCTGTATCCCATAGAGATTAAAAAAAAAAAAAGGAAAAGGACCTATTTATACAAAAACATTTATGGTAGCTCTTTTTGTTTTGGGAAACAATTGGAAATTGGGAGCATGCCCATCAATTAGAGAATGACAGAACAAGTTGTCATATATAATTGTGTTAGAATACTATTGTGCTATAAGAAATGATGAGAAGGATGCTTCAGAAAAACCTGGAAGATTTATATGAACTGAAACAAAGTGAAATGAGCAGAACCAGGAGAACATTGTACAAAAGTAACAGCTGTACCATACAACGATCAACTATGAATGACTTTGCTACTCTGAGTAATACAATGATCCAAAACAATTCCAAAGGACTTATGATGAAAAATGCTATCCACCTCCATATAAAGAACTGATTAAGTCTGAATGCAGATTGAAGTATACTTTTTATTTTCCTTTTTATTTTTTTGGTCTACGTCCTCTTCTGCAATATGGATAATATGGAAATATGTTTGGTATGACTTTACATGTTTAATCTACATCAAATGGTTTGCCTTCTCAAGAAGAGAGGAAGGAAAGGAGGGAAAGAATTTGAAACTCAAAATTTAAAAAAAAGTTTAAATTTTTTACATGTAACTGAGAAAAAATTAAGTAAATAAAAGGAAAAAAATTGCAAAATACTTTAATTCAAAAGCATTCAGTTAATTCTCTCAGGTCTGGGTATAAAAATCATGTAATGACCTTTTACCAGTTTAATGTAAACTTCTTCAACTATATTTGATCTCAAGTAAAGGCAAAGATGTTTTAGAATACCAACTTATATGTTGAAATTTCACATTACTTAAGGAACATATGCTTAGGGCCAATGGTCCAAAAAGTGGGAATTCTTCCTATTCCAAAGGGGGAAGCAGAGCAGATGGGGAAATGAGAATCCATTTACAATTTAGGAAACTGAAGCGTACAGTGGTTCAGTGACTTGCCCAGGGTGACACAACTAGTGTTTGAAATTGGATTTGAACTTAAGTCTTCCTGACTCCAGGCCTATCACTCTGTCCACTGTGCTATCTAGCTGTTGGTGATATATATCTTATTATTATTACATCATTCTCACAACACACTTTTGAGGGTGGCTCTGTAAGCTCTTAATGAAGAGGCTAAGCACCAAGAAACAAAATGCCTCGTCCCTGGGCACAACTAATAAGCTTGATAAGAGCAGGGCCTACATACTAGTTTTCTACTGAGTCTGTCTGGTGTTCTTTACAATATCTTTAGAATTACATTGGTAATAAGTAGGGAGGAAGTTTTGGGATTGAGTCTCCTTTATTGAACGAGAAAAAGATAGTATTTTTAAAGCCTGGGTATATTTATTTCCAAATTTTATATTCCCAATTTAGCAATCCACAGTGAAAAGCATCTTAAGGAAATCCACCATGAAATCAAGTATTAAAAAAGTTTTATTTTAAATTGCACTAAATCATCAAATTTAAATTTCAAAACTCATGATTCCTTTATGCCCTATGGAATCATAAATTTAGTTTTTATAGATGATCTCAAAAACAAGAATCTTTTTTCCTTTCTTTTTCTTTTTTTCTCATTAGCCAGATCAGGAGAAAATAACAAGTGTAGATAAAAATAACTGCTCAAATATCAAAGTTTTAGAAGCTTGGAAAATTCATATTGAAAAAAATTTATTTCTTTCTTGATTCCAGTTGTAAAAGTGGATAGGCTTAGCCCACTTCTTACTAAAGAGTTAATCACAAATTTAAATAGGCATTCATGTGCAAACATTTATCAACTCATCCATGTAGAGATACTAAAGTTTTAGTTACCTTAAGTATATAGGTTTTTCTGCTGATAGATAAGTATAATAGAGAAGGAATGAGGGATAGGTAGGTAAAGAACATTGTCCTCAGCTCTATCTTTAGCTCTTTTTTTTCTTGTTCAAACTCATATTATGTCAAGGAGAATCTCAGGAGTATTTTTTAAAGAATATCTTATTTTTTCTCAATTATATATAAAAAATGAACCATTTGTTTCTTAAAATTTTGAGTTTCAAATTCTCTCCCTCCTCCCCTTCCCCTCGCCTTGAGAAGACAAACCATTTGATGTAGATTATACATGTAAAGTAATATAAAACATATTACCATCTTAGCCATATTTCAAAAGAGAACATAGACAAAAAATAAAAAGAAAAGTAAAAAATGTACTTTGACCTGTATTCAGGCTTAATCAGTTCTTTATCTGGAGGTGGATAAGCATTTTTCATCATAACTCCATTGGAATTGTCTTGGATCATTGTATTGCTCTGAGTAGCAAAGTCATTCAAAGTTGATCATTGTATAATATTGCTGTTATTTGTGTGCAATGTTCTCCTGGGTCTGCTCCCTTCACCTTGTTTCAGTTCATGTTAATCTTCCCAGGTTTTTCTGATGCATACTGCTCATCATTTCTTATAGCACAATAGTATCCCAACACAATCATATACCACAACTTGTTCTGTCATTCTCCAACTCATGGGCATGCCCTCAGTTTCCAATTCTTTCCCACCACAAAAAGAGCTACTATAAATATTTTGTACAAATAGGTCCTTTTCCTTTTTTTTTTTCCTTAATCTCTTTGGGATACAGACCTAGCAGTGGTACTGGTAGATCAAAGGGTCTAGACAGTTTTATGGCCCTTTAGGCATAGTTCCAAATTGCTTTCCAAAATGGTTGGATAAGTTTATAATTCCACCAGTGGTGCATTAGTGTCCCAATTTTTCCACATCCTCTCTAACATTTGTCATTTTCTTTTTCTGTCATATTAGGCAGACTAATAGGTATGAGATGGTACCTCAGAGTTGTTTTAATTTGCATTTCTGTAATCAATAGTGATTTAGAATATTTTTTCTCAAATGACTATAAATAGCCTTAATTTCTTCTTCTGAAAATTGCCTGTTTATATCCTTTGACTGTTTGTCAGTTGGGGAATAATTTGTATTTTTATAAATTTGACTCATTTCTCTATATATTTGAGAAATGTGGCTTTTATCAAAGAGAAATTTCTGGTGATTTCCCCCCAGTTCTCTACTTTCCTTCTAATCTTAGGTGCATTGGTTTTGTTTGTGCAAAACCCTTTTAATTTAATGTAATCAAAATAATCCGTATGACATCCCATAATGCTGTCCATCTCTTATTTGGTCCTAAATTCTTCCCTCTTCCATAGATCTGACAGGTAAAATATTCCATGCTCCCCTAATTTGCTTATGATGTCATCCTTTACGTTTAAATCATGTACCCATTTTGACCTTGGTAGATTTTGTGAGATGTTGGTCTAGTTTTTGCCAAATTGGTTTCCAGTTTTTCCAGTAATTTTTGTCAAATCATGAGTTCTTGCCCCAAAAGCTTGGCTATTTTCATTTATAAAATATTAGATTATTTTGGAATAATTTATTACTGTGTGTTGTGTACTGAATCTATTCCGCTGATCCACCACTCTATGTCTTAGCTAGTATCATATTGTTTGTAGTACATTTTGTGGGCCACTTCCCTTCACAATTTTTTTTTCATTGATTCCTCTGATAGTCTTAAACTTTTCTTCTTCAAGATGCATTTTGTTATTATTTTTTCTAACTCTGCAAAATCATTTTTGGTAATTTGATTGCTTTGACACTGAATAAGTGAATTAATGTAGTTAGAATTGTCATTTTTATTATATTGGCTCAGCCTATCCATGAGCAATTGGTGTTTTTCCAATTGTTTATTATTTATGACTTTGTGTGAAAATTGTTTTCTAATTGTATTCATATATTTCTGAGTTTGTCTTGGCAAGTAGACTCCCAAGTATTTTATGTTGTCTGCAGTTATTTTAATCTCTTTCTATCTCTTTGACCTCAGGAGTATTTAATTCTAAATTAGATAGTTAATCTGTATCAGAGGGCTTTCATTTTGGCCCAGACATAGGCATAGAAAAGGAAAGACCTGTTCTTAGCCTTGAGACACTCTGCCTGGCTTTTGTTAAGATGGGTGTGATGGCTGTCACTAAAAAGCTTTTAGCCTTTCAACAGGATGAACTTTTATTCATTATGCCTTAGGAGACAGAAGCTTTGAAGAGATGAACTCAGAAGATAACAGCAAGGAACAATTCTTAGCAGAACCTATGTACCCAAGTAGCAACTATAGAAATATGCAGTTGAGACTAAAATACCAGGAGAGTGACATCTGCAATGGCAATGCCCTGAAACATTTGAGCAGTGTATCCAAGGCCAGCAGAAATTATCTGCACTAGAGTCACCACAGGACCAGTAGTCTGTGCTCAGCCATAATCACTAGCCCAGGGGTATAACACGTCCAACAAAGATACCACACCCAGCAGACAGCAAGAGTAGTACACTGATATTACAGGAAGATATTTGTGGTCCTGCATCTTGAGGTGTGAGTTGACACTTCATGTGTATTTCCTACATAAACAGACAATACAGAGTTATTTAACTTTTCAGGGATCCATGTCAACTCATAGAATTTTTTCTCCTAGGTCTGTTTTGTCTATTTGTATTTCGTGGCCTTTTGGAGTTCTCAGCACTTAACCAAGAGTTATTGGGTTATGCTGAAACAATTCAATTCTATTTTAAACAGATTGGGGGGGGGGCCCTTTTTCCTTATGAGTTGTTGTCTAAATGGCTGAGGAGTGCTGCTTGCCTTGCATTTTTTTGTTTTTGTTTCCCCCTGCAGAAGAGCCTAAAGTAATAATCAAGAAGAAAAAAGGAAACCCTGTTCCAGAATCTGGTATGTCTGTTATGGGCCCATCTTCAGAATCCCTATTCTTTTTCTTTCCCACATTTTTTCTTTTAGGAAAAGGACATTGTAGCACAGAGGAGGTTTATTACTATAGTCTCGTTCATTGCTGAGCATTAAAATTTAAATGTTTAGGAACATTTAATGTTCCCTGAATGCTCCATGAATATCAACAGAAGAAGGGTGGTGGTAAGGGGAGCATGCAATTTATGCTGGGCAAGGGGGCATTACCAAAACTTAATTCCAGATTGTTTTCCCAAAATGACTGAACCAATTCACAGCTCCAACAACATGTTAACCTGCCTGTCTTCCTATGTGTTTTGTTTCTAAAGCACAGGTTAATTCCTTCATCTCTTCTTCAAGGCCAAAACTGGTCATTGTTATACATTGTTCTCTTTTATTTTCTTGTTCTTTCCTTTACATTATTGTAGTCATTCTATATATTGCTTTGTTGTTTCTGTTTACTTCACTTAGAATCATTTGATTCAAGTCTGTCCCAGTTTCTCTAAATTCTTTAAATTCATTGTTTCTTATGGCATAATAATATTCCTTTGCATTCATTTATACCACAATTTGCTTAGCCATCCTCAGTTGATGATCATCCACTTTGTTTCCAATTCTTTGCTACTCCCAACATGTGTGCACATGCACATGCATTCACAAAACTACTATTATGAATATGTATGTATATGTTATGTATGTATATATTGGACCTTTCTGTTTATCTTTGACATTGCCCAGCAATGCGATTTCTGAATCAAAGGATATGGACAGTCATTCCCCCCCCCCGCCACAGAATTACAAATTTCTTTCTAGAATGGTTGAATCAATTAACAGTTTCACCAATAATATATTCATGTGCATATCTTCCCATAGTCCCTCTAAATTTAAATATTTCTTTGTCATTTTTGCCAGTTTGCTTGGAATGAAGTGAAACTTCAGATTTATTATGATTTTAGCCTCTCTCAATAGTGATTTGGAGGAAAATTTCGTATGGTTGTTAATTATTTATGTCTTGTTATAAGATTTGTTTATATACTTTAATCATTTATCTATTAGGGAATGGATATTCTTTTTCTAAAATGTGTGTTTATCTTTGTTGGTTTTTTTATGTCACCATCGTTTCTAAATATACCCCTCCTCTGTTCCCTTCCCAGAGATATCTTTTACCAAAAAAATTTTAAAAGGGAAAAACATAGTTTGGCAAATTTAACACATATATATCAGCCAAGACTGACATTATTATAGAAAGTGTACTATATACACAGTCTTTCTATCTGTAATGAAGAGAGAAAGATGCATTCTCTCTCCAATTCATCTTTAGGGCCAAGATTTGTCATTATAATGTCACAGTGTTCATTTTCGACTTTTATCATTGCTAATAACTGTGCTTAATGTTTTTGTGACTGATTATTTTATTTTGCGTCAGTTTATGTCTTCTCATACTTCTCTGTATTTTCCATATTCATAATTTCATATTATTCTGTAGCATTTCATTACATTCATGTACTTCAATTCATTTAGCTTAGGAAGGATTCTTTTTCAAATATATGTACATACATATATATGTATATATCACCATTAATATCTTATATATTTTAGACATTAGAAATATTTGATGCAAAGCTTTACTTAATTGAGTTTTCCTTCTTAGCCTAGCTGCATTGATTTCATTTGTCCAACATTTTTCAATTTCAACCGTATATAACTTTGTAGCACATTCAGAAAAACATGAAGAATTAATTTCAATGGGATTTTCAGATGCCCATGGCTCCACTGATGGGCAAAAAACCACACCTACTGCCAAAACAACTCGAAAAGGTAAAGATAAAGGAGCTGACAAGGCAGAAAAAGAGAAGGCAGCTAAAGAAAAAGTGGCACCTAAAGTTGAACCTCAGGTAAGAATGATATTCCTTATTTGAATAATTTTATGAAATGTGGATTTTGACAATGTTTGGCCTCTCATAGACAGGAATTCTGGAATCACATATGTAAATTCCCTATAGCTGTCATAATTCCAGTTTTCAAAATAGAGGAACTAAATTATACATGTACATGTACTGCTCATGTTCTAGCAAATTGTTTCTGCATGCCATGAGCCACTGAGAAGCAACACAAGAGTACCAGGATAGTGAGGACAGGCCTTGAGGAATGAAAGCAAGAGTCAGTGCCAAAGAAAAATTTCCTCCAGATCACAGTTTTACTTAAAGCCAGAATTAAGAATATTGGTTTAGGTTTTCAATAAAAATGGACCCTTTTACAGGAAATTTTACAGGAAAATTGCATATAATTAAATTGTAAATTTTACCTGAAAAGAGAAATTCCTCTTTGGCAAAGCAAGCAAACAAAAATTCATAAATTACCTAATGGGAATGATTTCTTAAGTGTTTCCCCTGATAAGTCCCTCCAATTTCTCCTCCCTTTCATCCACAGATGCTAGAATATATTCTTCAAAAGACAATTTTGACAATATCACTCTCCTACTAAAACCCCATGGTTCATTGTTGCTTTTACAATAAAATATGAACTTCTCAGTCTGACCTTTAAACTGCTCCATAACCTTATTTTATCTTTCTTTACAACCTTACTCATTACTCTCCTTTATGTATTCTAAAGCTAAATTAGTATCTGGTCCTTAGACTCAACATTCATGGCCTTAGACCCATCTTCATGACTTTCCACAAGCCATGCTCCATCCCCACTCCTGCCCCATACCTACAATATATACTCCTTGCTGATCTCTATGTTTCAGAATTTCTATTTTCCTTCAAGACTCAGTTCAAGTGCTACCACTTACTCTTACCTCTAGTTGCTAGTGTATTTTCCATTAAAATTCCTTTTATTTTGCTTACCTGCATACATGTTATATCCCTAAAGAAAAATCTAAGCTACTCAAGATAAAGGACTGTTTTATTTGTACAATCATGCTTTCCACATGACAGTGTATAATGGTCTGGGGTCTTGTACTCAGAAGCACTTGGATTCAAGTTCTGCCCTTGCCATATACTAGCTGGTGCTATGGACAAGTAACTTAACCACGCAGTATGTTCAGATAGTACTCTCTAAGATAGTGGGTTACAGACAAATCACATTTCTGTTGATCACGTTTCCAAACTGAGGGTTCCTCACACCAGTGAAATCATAGGTTTGCAACAACCTCTCTTTCCTGTCCCCCTCACCCCTCCCACCCCAGCCACATCTCATCATCTAATATAGTACTTTGTACATATTAAGTGTTCAATAAATGTTCATTGAACTGAAAAGACTTAGCTTTGTGATGAGTGCAGCTTATGTTTACTGCATGGCACACTTATAACTAGCCCTTAGGTAATCTCTCTGACAAGACCTCAGGCTTCTTATAGCACAGCCTGATGTCATTTCATGATAACAAAAAGACTCTGGGGAAACCATCAAGAAAAATCCTAGACCCTAGAATCTGCTACAAAGAGGCTCACTTAAGTTCTCTTATTCTCTCTCTTTGTTTCTGCAACCCAGTGTATGTACCAGGATAAATTTTAGCTAAAAATTTCAGGCTCTTCTTACTTTTATGTGCTTTCTACTGGCAGCCTCAGAATAAGAAGTTAAAGTTTTCTTTAGGATTATTGGCAAAAGCTGTTGCCCTTAGATCAACTGCTCTCCTTTGCTGATAGTAGCAATAATCATAATGTATGAGACCTAGGTTTCCTAATTTATTCACATGAAAAATAAAATAAGATATACATGTACCATGTCATTTTTAGTTAAAGGAGTGCTAAACATTTACTAAGTCCCCTTTATTCTCATTATTTTTTAAATTTCCCTTTGGTATTCTTGACCTTTGTTCCTCTAGATGAATTTTATTACTTTCTATAGTCCTGTTAAGTAACCCTTTAGTAGTTTGATTGGTATGGCATTGAACCTGTAGATTAATTTTGGTAGTATTATAATTTTATTGCATTACCATGGCCCCTACGTGACTAATTAAATATTCCCCATTATTTATGTAGTCTTTTATTTTTAGAAAGTGTTACCTAGTTATGTTCATATAATTTTTATGTCTTGGTAGGTGAATTCTCAAATATTTTATGTATTCTCTAGTTACTGTGAATGGGTTTTTCCGTATCTCATCCTAATTTTTTAGATAATATGCACAACTCTGATGATTTATATGAGTTTATTTTTTATCCTGCTACTTTTTTTAAGTCATTGTTTCAGTTAATTTTAGTTGAATCTCTAGTGTTCTCTCAGTAAATCATATCACTTGTAAAATGCAACAATTTTGTTTCTTCTTTGCCTGTAATCATTACCTTGAAATTTCTATTTCTCATTTTATTTATGTAGTATTTCTTTAAGTATATGAAATAGTAGTGGTGATAATGGAAATGCTGGCTTTACCCTTGATATTATTGAAAGCCCTTTAGCATATCTCCATTATGGATAATGGCTGTTCTTGGTTTTCGAAAGAGACTCTACCACATTAAGAAAGGGTCTATCTATCCTTTTAATGTTTTTAACATAAATTTGCTAATTGTATTTTGTCAAAAGCCTTTTCTGAATCTACTTATATAATCATATAATTTTTATTATTTTTTGTTATTATAATTCTCCTAATAATGAATTAACTGCATTTCTGGTCATAGGGTATAATATGTTAAATATGTTGTTTCAGCCTCTTTGCTAATATTTTGCCCAGTATTTTTGCATTGACATTCCTTAGAGATATTGGTCTATTATTTTCTTCCTCTGCTTTATTTCTCATTGGTTTATGTAGTACCACCACTACTGCAATATTTGTCTCCCAGAAAGATTTTGGAAGGACTTTTTCTTTCTCTATTTCTGCAAGCAAGTTTTGTGGTGTTGGAGTTAGTTGTTGTTTGAATGCTTGATAGAATTGTTGTAAAACAGTGTGTGTCTGAATTTTCTTTTTCTTTTGTTAGTTCGCATGTGACTTTCAATTTTATTTTGTGAGGTTGATTGATTTAAATGATTTTTTCCTCTCTTTTAACCTAGGCATTATTCATTTTTGTTAAAATTTATTTCATTTGTTATCAATTTTGTTGGTGTTCATTTGGGCAAAAATAGTTTCTAATACTTTATTTCCTCTTCATTTGTTATGAATTCTTTTTTTTAAATTATTTTTGAGTGTGGTAATTTTTTTTTCTTTTTATTGTGTTTAGTTGGGTTTATTCATTGACTTTCTAATTTTTAAAAAGTTGTATGTCCAATCCATCTCTTCTTTCTCTCTTTTGTTGATAGAAGTGTTTAAAAACATAATTTTTCCTAATTACTTCTTTGACTATATTCCAAAAGTTTTGTTATGTTGTCTCATTGTAATTTCCATTGATGACAGTTATCTATTGGTTTTCCATAAAGCTGAGAACTATGGATACTACTTCATTTCCACTTAGAAGTCACCAAAAACCCATAATACTTTTCTAAAATTCTATTCTGGTCCAAACTTCTTTCTTGTTTCTTTAAAAAAAAAATCCTAAGTATGATAAGGGCATATTGAGGTACCCAAATATTATACCTTTTTGTGTATCATTCCATGCAATTTTATTAACTTTTCCTCTAAGTAAACAGTGGCTATGATATTTCCTGCATTTTTTGTGAATGTATGTGTGTGTATATATATACATGTATATATATATACACACATACATACACACATATGTTATATATGATGTCTGTAAACACAATGTGGTTTCCTTGATTAACTCCTTTAAGTACGTCTATTTTTATGTTTCTCTTGTCTAAAATCTTGATTGCCATGCCTGATTTTCAAAAAATCACCTGAAGAATAATAAATTCAGTTCCAACATCTCATTTCAACTCTGTGAATTTTTATATTTCAAGTGTGAACTACTGTTTTCATTCTCTGGTCATTTTGAATGGAATTCCTTTTTGTATCTCATCTGGCTGGAATTTTTTCCAAGAAAAATCCCAGATCAGTTTAACATACATACATAAAATACACACACACACACGCACACACACAAAGTATATATATATGTAATATATATAATATATATATATTTTTTCATTAGACCACTCTGATGCTAGATCTGGAAGTCTGTGATAGCTTATCGAATTCTATAGTTAAGTGTTGTGAAAAGATTGTGTCTTTTAGTCATGGTAGATTCTGTTCAGTCACCTTTTCTCTTCTCTGTGAACCCTATATTACCTCTGTGCTTTTAGACTTATTTTGATTCCTTGTACACACATATTCCAGAGATGGGAAAAAGATTATAGTTCAGCAACTTAATACCTTTCTGCAATACACTTACAGCTAGATATCATCCATCTCTTTCTGCTAAGCTGGCACATATTTGACTTAGCTGGTTGAAAGAGAGTAAGTTTATAATCATTCTTCCATGCATTATTCTTCACTAGTTTACCTACACCTTTTTCTAAAGGGAAATGTTCTGTTCACTGAATTCTTTTGGGGTTTTAGGGACAATTAGGGGACAATTCAGTATAGTGGGAAGTGCACTGAATTTCTTATCAGAGTACCTTGTACTGGTTTCCTGTTCTGCCACTTACTACCTGTGTGACCTTGGGCAAGTGAATTTTCTGCTCTAGACTTCATTATCTTCACCTATGAAACTAGGGAGTTAGTCTAGATAAACTCCAAGACCCCTTCTGGCTCTGAGTCTATGATCCTAAGTTTGTTTTCACAAGCCCTACAGAGATAAAGTTCTCTCAGGTGCTGAAAGCAAGGGATTTTTTCTGGAACCTTATTTTCCTACTCTTCATTTTTGCAGTACAGGAGTTAAGCAGAATAGCATTATTTCACACTGTTCCCCTTCCCATTCCTTCATATATTTCCATCTGAATTTCAAGTACAGTAATACTAGAAAAGAAAACAGATGTGGTAACAACAGGTTACATTAAGTATCAATTTTGTGTCTATCACTGATCCAACTTGGTCCATATTGATTAGAAACAGGCCTAGAAATAAATGGGTGATTAAAAAAATCCCAAGATTACTGATTGTGAGGTGAGCATAAGAACAAATTAGAATGAAAAAGTATAAAGAAATTAGATAATACCAGTCATTCACTAAAAGCTTATAAATCTAGCCATCTTTTTTTTTTTTTGGTCGCATTCTCAATTTTAGGCTCAGCAACAAGATCCAAATAAACCTTATTGGGTGCTGCGCCTGGTCACTGAACAGATAGAGACTGACATTCTGGAAGTTAAGAAGGATACAGAAAGAACTGATGAAATCCGAGCAATGAAACAAGCATGGGAGTCTGCAGAGCCAGGCAGATCTATCAAGGTAATGACAGCTGGAAAGGTTATTTTAGTTGTCCTCGTTCTGGAGTGGTCTGAGAGCAACAAAATGCAGGAAAAAATGTATAATCAAACACTTGACAGGGGCTGAAGGACATTAATAATATTCGATAAGTGACTTTTTCAAATAACAGTTATGTAGGTACTTGTTTTTTCCCTCCTTCCTTCCTGCCCTTTCTAATCAAATGATAACCTTCTTGTAGTCAGCCTTAAGTCTGCTTGATAACCATAAAAAGTTAGCTCTTGATGATACTTTTTGGCTTTGTAGTCTTTCTCCCAAAGGCTGGAAGTTTATTTTCATTTACAAAGCCCTAGCTATGCCTATTCCACTATTCTCTTCTCCAAAGAAGGAAGCATAAACATGTACTTGTAGATACATAAGAGAACCTTATAAACACATGAACACATGCACATTCACAGTCTCTCTTATATAATCCTCCTCCCCTTCAGAATTTATAGAATTCTTTGTACCTCTGTCATGTACTTATCATGTTTTCTGTTATAATTACTTTTGTATGTATTCTATCCCCCTATCATGGAAAGCTCCATAAGAACAGGGGTTATATATTATTTAAAATTTTATCTACTTCAGAGACTAGTGTAGTTCTATTCATAGAGTAGGTACTTTGTTGGTGATAATAAATTTAACTGACAAGAGATTGATGGCGTATATATGTTTGAAATATACTATAGGACCAATTAATAGGTATATTTGATTGCTAATATACTTAATCCCTATAGTTTGATCATTCAAATTTAATGACACTAGTTTCAATAGATAATTCATTCAATAACAATTTATTAAGCACTTATTGGGTATGAAGCACTTTACTAGGTACTGGGAAAGGTACAAAGACAATTTAGACATAAGTACTGTCCTTACTGAAGCTTACAATCTAGTAAATTATAATTATAATAACATGTTATTATATTACTTAATAAAATCCTGTTTAGAAAGATGTTCTCTACCTACGTCAGATTGCACACTCTTTTGGGGAGAGAGGTCGGGAGGTAGGGGTAGCAAATTTAAAACTCAAAAGCTTATAGAAGTGAATGTTGAAAACTAAAAACAAATTAATTTTAAAAAAGAAAGATGTTATGTAAGTGTATACATTTATTAGAGTTGCTCATTCGTTGGCTGACAAAAAAAGGTTCCATGTATGAAAAGCAATAACTGCTCAGTGTTTTAATGTGTTTTGATCAAACACATTAGTAGCAAACCTCAGTTTGCTAAGGCACAGATAAAATAATTTTGCTAATTTCACATTTTCTTCTTTTCTTGGAGGCTTTATAAGTCATTTATAGTCAGTCATTTTCAAAGATCTTGTCTGCTAACATTTGTTCTACAGGCTGCTCAAGCTCGCTTACAGTTTATCAACAAATTCTCTAAGAAATCTGAGGCTGAGGCAGAGCCTAAAGATATGACTAAGATCCTGGAAGAAGGTACTGACGTTGTTCATGGACCAAATGAGTCTCACCATTCACGAGTATTATTGGTGCACTTTTGAGTGTAGTTTTAATGGAGAGGGAAAAAGGTAGATGGGCAAAAGTTAGAGAGAGAGAGAGAAAGAGAGAGAGAGAGAGAGAGAGAGAGAGAGAGAGAGAGAGAGAGAGAGAGAGTGAGCGAGCGAGAGCGGGCAGAATGAGATTTCTCAACCATAAAGGAAATATTGTAAATCTTTTATGCTTCAGGATTTCAAGGACAGCTCCACTACACCACAAATGTAGATTTGGTCAGAGAGTTCTAAACTCCTCCTCACCCCTGCCCCCACCTCTTATACTTTCAGGAGGAATATTAAAGTCTAGCTGTTGTGACTGTTTTTAAAATGTTTACTCTATCTCTTTCTACCATGGAAGTCTTCTGTCCTTAAAAGTCACCTTTCTTTGAGGTGGTGAATAACACCTTTGGTTGCATAAAGTTAAACTTACTTCTGTCAATGTGGGAGCAACCAGGTACCCCAGTGGATAGAGTGCTGGGCCTGGAATCAGAAAGACTCATCTTCTGAGTTCAGATCTGGTTTCAGACTCTTACTAGTTGTGTGACCTTGGGCAAGTCACTTAACTCTACCTCATCTGTAAAATGAGCTGGAGAAGGAAATGGCAAGCCATTGCAATGTCTTTGCCAAGAAAACCCCATATGGGGTCACAGAGACTCAGATGTGACTAAAAAAAAACTGGATAACAGCTGTGAATGTGGATTTTAATACTAGAAAATGTCAGAGGACTGTCCAAAATTAGTAAATATACAATGAGTCAGTCATTATTACTTCGGGAAGCATTACTTTATATTGCTCATTTGAAACCTATTGTAAGTTCATAGCATCAGGAAATACTTTTTTTCCTATAACATAAGTGGACCATGACTAATTATTATGTAAATAGACCCCTCCTCCATACTCAACTCTCTTCCAATTCTGAGATTCTGTGAATTTATCTTCCTAATTTTTCCTGACAGCCCATCAGATATTTGAAGACAACTATCATCCTCTATAGGCAGCTAGGTAGTGCACATTGGGCCTGAAGTTAGGAAGACCTGGGATCAAATCCAGTCTCAGACACTTATTAGCTCTGTTACCCTATGCAAGTCCCTTTGCCTCTGTTTGCCTTAATCCATTAGAGAAGGCAATGGCAAATCACTGCAGTATCTTTGCTAAGAAAATCCCATGGAAAGTATTGGCGTGCTGTCATCCACAGGGTCACAAAGGGTCACATATGACTGAGCAATGATAATCATTCTTCTGTGTTGTCTATGCCTTTTTTTCTTCAACCTAAATATCTCTCCAACCTAAATATGGTTCTGTTCATCCTTAAATGGCAGTCTTCAGAACTCACAGCATCCTAGTGGCTTTTTTTGTGGATGTTGATATGGTCTGCATTTAGGTTCACAATGTTTTCCTTATTATCATGGTGATAATAATGATCTTGTCTGCAAGGTGAGGGGTTGAGCGCTTTTCTTCAGTTGCTGTTAGCTCTAGCTTCCATTCTGTAGCACCCTCCTTTAATTTTTTTTTTGATTTTCAGTTCCAAATTCTCTCCCTCCCTCAAGTCCTTTCCCCACCCATTGAAAAGACAAGAAATATAATACCCATTATACATATGAAGTCATGCAAAACATACTTCCATATTAGCCCTGGGGGAACAATTAAGGGATAAGACTGCTTCTTGAGAACAATAATAACAACTGATGAGACAAGGTGGAAGTACACAACTCTTATTGTGCTTCTCTTTTGTCCGCCAAGGAGAACTGTCATACCAGTCAAATAGACAGCTCATTATTTTAAAGAACTACCCAAAATAATAATGAAATTCATTTGGAAAAAAAACCAATTAAGAATATCAGGGGCAATAATGAAGAAAAATGGCGTAAAGGGGACAAAATGTTACTGGAATTCAAACTGTGTTATGAAGGAGTCATCAAAATGATTTGATTGTCTTTAGAACATACAAAAAGAGATCAGTGGGATTGATTTGATAAACAAGACTGAGCCCTACATTCCAAATAATTTAGTCTCTTAATTTTAATAGCATTCATTTGTGGTAGTCCATTCTAAGTGATGCTAACTAACATGACCTTGAGCATGTCACTGAACTTCTCTAGGCCTCAGTTTTCTCATCTGTAAAATGGAATGGTTGGATTAGATAACCTCTAATGCTCCTTCCAATTCTAAATTTATGGTCCTATGAATTCCAGTGCTTATATTGTAGGACACTCTAGAATGTCATCTCCCGTTCATAGTCTCTGTGAATAAGTATATTTCCTCTATTTTCCCTATGACTCCCCTAAAACTAAGGGCTTATGAGATACCAGTGCTTCTGTTCTTCTCTATCCAGTCCAACTTGTAACATGATTTTGTATCTCCTCCCACTCCCATGCCTTTCTACCTATCACTTTTTTTTAAAGGATCATCTTCTGAGTAACTCCATTCCTAAAAATCTTAATTCATTAGGGAGATCATGTGATGTAGTTGAAGAACTATTTACTGAGATAGCACTTTGGCGAAAGCTAGGCCCTTCTGCTCAAAATCTACGCTTCCTTAAATTAGCCATATCATTTCCCTAGACCGAGGTCCTTCTATTTGGTTTCCCTTTGTGTGAAAGATGCCCAGGAATTTAGATTTTTCCTCTCATAAGTGGGAATGTGGTATGCACCCCAGTCCCTTCCTCACCTAGTTATGAGCAAATTATGTTTATTTCTTGAATATGGAACTGTGGGTTCTTTGTGAGGCTATGAAGTATAAAATTGTTAGCATGAATCAATTTACTTTTCTGCTCCCAGCCCTACAACTCTATGTCTTCCCAACTCAGTCAGTTAGTGCATTTTTTGAGGGTACTTACTGATAACTCAGGACCTTTCATTTATCAGGGATTCAATAAATACTTGTTTTATTAATTAAATTCTCTAAGCTAAAGTAGGATAGTTTTTTTTTCCATGTCAGTTGTTTAGCTGCAAAGTAAAATGACAGAAGCTAGAAGTTAAAAACAAAGTAAAACTTTCTTTTAAATAAAACCATATCAGGTAAGCCAAGATCAACCAATAATAAAGGGAAAAAGAACTTATTAAAAAGTTTTAAAAATATAATATCTAGGAGAGGGAAGTATACATTTTGAAGTGAGGGTGATATAAAAACAAATGATATCAATACAAAGTTTAAAGTTAAAAATAATTTTATATATATATATATATATTATTTTTTTTTTGTTACAAATGGAATAACTACAGGAGAAACGAGAAAACTCCCTGGTGTTGAAGCCATACCAAGTGCAGTGACTACTAACACAACTGTATCACCTGTGAAGAAAGAATTAGAACCTTTGGACATTACTCCATATTTCCAGTAAGTTGTAGTAAATATGAATAAATGTGGAAATCTGTGTTTGTGGAGCAGAAATTACATTGCCAATTCTGTAGTAATGATGAATTAGAAATAAATACCCATTATATTTTTATAGTGTGAACCAGACATGTGAATCTTCAGCTGTCTATAAGCTGGCATTTTTATTTCGATGAGTGTTTATCAGTTGTATTTGATTGTAAACATGGGAGTCTTTTGTAGCTCTGTCCTTCCCTATCTACATCTGGGTGAGCCCATAAAATTCCATGAGTTCGATGGTCATCTGTATGCAGAGAACTTCACAATATATATCTAGCCCTCATTTTTCTACCTGTACTTCAGTCTCACATTTCCAACTACCTATTGGATACTCCTACCTCAATGCTTCATTGAAATACCAAATTTCACATGCTAAAAATAGAACTGATTATTGTAGCATTTTAGATATTCTTTATAAAAGCTTAGGGTTGGAAAGGCCATTTAGTCCAGTCCATAGACCTTCTACAACCTACAGAATCATGGAATTTGAGGAATCAAGGGAACCTCAGCCGTCATCTAGCCCAACACATCCCCTTCCCCAAATTCCCATTATAACACATATAGAAAGTAGTCACCCCCCATCTGATTGATCCTGAAGACCTGCAAGGAGGAAGAACCTATCACTTCTGTAGATAGTCCTTTCCATTTTTAAACAACTCCTTTAGGACTTTTTTCCTTTGACATTAAGCCTAAATTTTTCACTTTACAACTTTCACTCATTGTTCCTGGATCTATCTTCTGGGTCCAAACAGAATAGATCTAATCTTTCTTTGAGAGCCTTTCAGATATGTGAAGACAAATCTTTTCTTCTCTAGGCAAAATACCAACCCTCCACCCCATTCCAGCAACCTATCTCCTTATCACATGGAATTAAGACTTTTCACCTTTTTGGTTACCTTCAGGATGCCCTTTAATTTATCAATGTCCCTCTTAAACTGTGGTGTCCAATTTCGAACACCGTATTCTAGTTGAGGTCTCATGAGACCGTTACCTCCTTATGCCTGAAAACTTCGCCTTCTTCCTTCAGCCAAAGATCATGTTTCCTGCTGCTACATCACACTACTAATGCTTACTAAGTTTGAAGTCCACTAAGATTCCTGGATTTTTTTTTCAGGTGAACTGTTTCTAATCATGTCTCTTCCATCTTTCACTTGTAGTATTCATTTCTTTTTTGCATCCAAAAGTAAGGCTTTCCAGTCTGTTAAACTTAATCTTGTTAGTTTTAGCTCAGTATTCTACTCTGTCACTAGCTTTTTGGAATTTGACTCCACCATCTTGTATGTTAGCCATCCTTTTCAGCTTTGTGCAATCTGCACATTTGAAGAACATGTATGCATACATAAGAGAAAATGTAGTAAAATAGAATTCTGGCCTTGGAGCCAGGAAGAGCCAGGTTTGAATCCTGCATCAGACACTTATTACCTGCACAACCCTGGGCAAGTCATGTAACCACTCTAAGCCCTTAATTTCCTCATCTATAAAATGATTTGAAGACTTCTGTGGCCCCTCCATCTCTGAATCTATTAACCCTGTGATTATATGCCTTTATCCAAGTCATCAGTAAAAAAAATTAAACAACGCAAGGCCAAACACAAGTTCCTGGGGTACTCTATCCTAGACCATGTAGATATTGAACCATTAATGACTATTCTTTGAGTGAGGCCACCCAATCAGTTCTGAATTTATCTAATTATCATATAATTTAGTTCATCTATCTCCATCTTCCCCATGATAGGAAATACTTATCAAAAGCTTTTTTCTAAAATCCAGATAAATTATATTTATAGCATTCTCCTTATCCACCAGTTTAATAACATTGTTAAAAATGAAGCAAAGTTAATCTGGCATGAGCTGTTGTAGATAAAGCCATGCTAGCTTTTCCATAATCTCTGTTTTCCTTTCATTGATGTTCACCAACCATATCTTTTATGGTTAAGTTTGATTCCCAGGAATTGAAGTTGAGCTCACCGACCTATAGTTTGTAGACTACTCCTGCTCTTTTTTTAAGGCTAACACCACATTTATCCTTCTCCAGTCTTGTGGTACCTCTCCCATTTGCTATAATGTTGCAAATAGTCTTCTTGACAGTGGCTCAGAAATAACACCTGTCAGTTGTTTGAGTGTCTGAGGATGTATTTTATCTGGGCCAGTTGATTTGTTTCCATCAAGAGTAAATCAGGTACTCCACTTGCTTTTCTTAGGTATTGACTTACTGTTAGCCCTTTTTGTTCTACTGTGTACGGTGCAAAGGTCATTCTCCTCTCCTGACAAATGGTCTTCTGGCTTTTGCTAGAAGGCCTACAGAGAGGCAGAGCCTACTATTTCTCAAGGCAGTTCATTTGACTTTTGGGAAAGGAACACACATTTATTAACATCTATTGTGTGCCAGGCCCTGTGCTAAAAAAACTTTACAAATATTATCTCAATTGATCTTTACAACAAAGCTGTGAAATAGGTGCTATTTTTATTCCGATTTTATTGTTGAGGAAACTGAGACAGAGAGGTTAAGTGATTTGTCCAGGGTCACAGAGCTAATAAGTGTCTGAGGCCAGATATGAACTCGGGTCTTCTTAATAGCTCTAATCATTAGGAAGTTATTAATTCTAGCCTAAATTTGCCCCTAAATTTCAACTCGTTATTTGTAGTTCTTAGTTCTGGGCTAAGAAAAATAAATCTAATGTTGCATTCACTTAAGAATACCTTGAAGGACCAAGCTACATTCAATCAGTGCAGTGTACTTGCACATGCTAGAGATAACAGATTAAAAAATACTTATTTCAAAGTAAAATTATAAAATATATTTCTAATTATTTGCATTTAAAGTATATTTATATAGACAGCAGAAAATGTAATGAGTAATAGTAAAATTATTTTAAAGATTTTAAATAGTCTTTTGTTAATTGATGCAGTTGACATGCCTGGTCCTGGAAGGTGGTTATCATGTGCCTCCTAAGTCTTCTCAAGGCTAAACACCCTTGTTCCTTCAAATGATGCACAGATGACATGACCTCTAGGCCTTTCAGTATTTCTTTTGTCATCCTCTTCTCTTCTAAATATGTTCCTCCCCTAGACTTCCCTATTTCTGATGAAGACCCTCATCCAGGTACATCATCTAAGACTCTTTCTTGAGTATTCTCTCTCTTGCTCCCCCCATATCTAATTAGTTTTCAAGTCTTATCCCTTCCTTTCTCTTCACTCACTTCCCACTACCTTAATATAAATGATTTGTCCAGGATCACACAGCTCATAAGTTTTTGAGACCAAGTGTGAACTCAGGACTTCCTGATAGCCAGAACCTCTCACTTGGATTTCAGTGTTTCCAGTTTCTTCTCTCTCCAATCATTTTTGAATTTAACTACTAAAATAATCTGCATAAGGGACAGGTTTGACCACATTACTCTATCATCTAAAAATCTTTGGCTTCTACTTGCCAATACAACTTGCAAATACAACTCATCACCTTACCATTTAAAATTGCCTGCAACCCAGCTCCAACTTACATTTACAGATTGATTTCACATTGCTCCCTTTCATGTACTTAACATTTCAACCAAACTGACCTGCTAGATGTTTACCAGATTCAGCATTTTATATCTATGTTGTCATAGGCAACTGTCCCTCACACCTGGAAGGCACTCCTTCTTCTTCTCCATATCTTAGAATCCTCAGTTTCCTTTAAAGCTCGTTTCAGGCATTACCTCTTATAGGAATATTCCCCTAATATTCTAGTCTTTAAATGTTCTCTCCTTTCTTAACTTAATTTTTTTTTTTAGTTATCTGTATCTGTATTATGTCCCTCAATGGAATGGAAACTCTTTGAGGATAAACCCAGTTTCATTTTTCTCCTACTGTTCTTGATGCATATCATAATGCCTTTCATATTGTGGGTTGTTAATAAATGTTTATTGAACAAAGTTGAAGTTTTGACATCCTCAGATAAACTTCAGGTTTGATGACTGGGGCAACTAGAGCTACAGAGTATTCACACTATGTCTCCTATGCTTGTTTAAATAGATTTAGGATTGTTTCAAGTTTAGCTAATAGGAATAATCTTGAGAAATGGCTGCAAGTTCTTGAAGACCGATATCAAATTTTAAAATGTGATCAATACTTTTTGGCTTCACAAATTCAAAAGAAACAACTAGAATAATCTTTCTTAGAAACCAAAATGTATTTCACAATCACCTTATGCAAACAGTTGCACAAAAAGAGACCAGGCTGCCCAAAAAGGATGACAACAACAAAAATTAATGGCAGTAAAATTTCCTGTATGATTTAGCACTCTTTGTTTCTCTAAATTCAGTATAAGTTACTGTATTATCAATATGACCATGAGGGACTAAAATAATGGTGAACATTGGCTGAAGATCTTTGTGATGCTTTGCCATTGCTAGAGTTGGGTCTTTTAATCACTTGGTTCCCCAAGAAAATGGTTCAGAGGCAAGCTCCAAAATGAGTTAATTATCTCTTTTGATTTTCATCCCAAGACAAACAATTGATGAGCCTATATTATACAATGAGATTTTGGCCCAGCACCAAGAAACGCAGAAGGCAGAGGAAGTTCATCGGTTTCGCCAGTATCGAGAAGGCATACTTAGCAAAAGAAATGATGACTATCTAGCACGGAAGAGGCTAAAGGCAAAAGTTTTGGATACCTATGGTGATATCCGTGTAAGTAAGAGCATGTAAATGTATGTCCCTCTTGACAAACCTTTTTAAATTTTTAAAATTTGACATCTTATATGTTAAGTTATCCATCCATGTAATTAGCAAGTTAATGGAGATTTGGCCCTGATTCTTTTTTAGAATCACATTATATCCTTTTGCGTCACATGGGATAGCATCTTTTTTTAAAATATATTTATGACATGTGCTACTCCCCACAAATGTTTATTTTTTCATTGTGAGAACAACCCAGCCTGGAGCCATTGTACTAACCAAGATTGTCCCACTTAAACTCTGCTATTGATATGCCATCCCCTGAATTTCTTCCTTGGTCATTATTATTCTTCAGATATTCAGACCACACTGGCGTTTCATATGCCAGGGAGAGCATATAGCCATTTTCAAGTAGCATCACAGGTAGATGATTTATGCCCTTAAGTTAATAAACTTTGAGGAACATTTTAAAATCACTTAATAAGTTCATTTGTGTGTTTTAAACCATCGACATGGCTATACAATGTTTTCAGAATTTTAATGTTCTCCACGCATGAATATGGTTAGTCCATTAAAACTCTGCCAATGTCAAAATGGACTCTGTTCAATAATGTTATATTCCTGGAGCAAATACTTTGTGTATTTGTTATCATGTCTTAATGAATTGTACTTAATGATACAGTACTGGTAACACTGATTCACCTTCCTACTGATTGCCCATTTCTTCTAGCTTTTTAAAAAGTGGGGAGTAGCATAGCACATTACTCATTAAGGAGAATATTATTCTTACCTCCATGGCCCTTCCATACTTTGTCAGCCATCTCCAAGAAGCATGAATTTTTAACAGGTGATCCAAGTATAGAATTCGAAGAGGTAATAAAGGTATACTCTACCTCCTTATGTCATTAATTGGCTACAAGAAAACATAGTAGGTAAAATAGTGTTATAGAGGACAGTTAGTTCCCTGAGAATAATGTTGCAAATAAATATTGCCTCCCATAATGATGATAACAATAAAAACTACTGTTTTTTAATGCTTTGAAGTTTTCAAGGTAATATATACATATATATGCATATGTATGTGTATAAAATCAGTTTTGTCATTTGTAAAATGGAGATAATTACAGTACCTATCTCACAGGGTAGTTGAAATGATCAAGTGAGATGATATATAACATGATATAAATATATGTAATTTTATATTACTTATTATATAAAAATTAGAACATATTAATAATATATTACCATATATAACATATATTATCTCACTTGATCATTTCAATAATCCTGTGAGGTAGGTGGCATAATTGTCCCCATTTTATAGATGGCAAAACTAACTTTATATTTTACATGTGTTGTATGTAACATATAAAATTTATATATTTGTATACAATATATAAATTATATATAAATACATAACTGATTTTATATGTAATATATAAGTATTGTATTATAATTATGTTATATATGTATGTGTGTGTGTGAAATCTCACTTGATCATTTCAGTGTTCCTATGAGGTAGGTGCTGTAATAATCTCCATTTTACAGATGACAGAACTGAGGCTGAATGTGTCTTGGACTCTTCCTGGCTCCAAGTCTACTACTCTATCCGTTGTTCATAGTTTTACAGTGAGGTTGGTGGCAGCCTTTGGAGTGGTATGCCCATACCATCTTTTTTTCTAAGTCAGTCAGTAAACATTTGTTAAACACATATAATGTGCAAGGTACAGTACTAATTAATGTGGCTATGAAAAAGGGTAAAAGAGAATCCGTGCCTTTAAGGAACTCACAGTTTAATGGCGGTTGCTATATGCATGTGATCCCAGTGCATACATGGTGGTGAAAAACTTATTTCATATTGTATCCCCACTTATTAAAATGTATTAAGTTGTTTGTTTATTATTCGTTTAGCAAATTTATACAACAGTATACTTCACAACAGCTCCTCAGTTTTGTAGCAGGATAACTTGAATTTATGGTTAAAGACTTATTAGAATTAGTTTTCTTATAGAAGAAATCTTGCTCATTTACCAAGAGTTGTAGCACTTTACGTCTTCTTACAAAAACCAGTTACTGTTGCATGTAAACTGAAGTATGTGAGATAGTGTAGTGTAGTGGATAGAGAGCTGGCCTTCAGGTCAGGACTACTTGGATTCCTTTCCTAGCTCCCTAAAAATCTCTAAGACTGTCAATTGTAAATAGCTAGTCTAAACTGGTAGATGAAACTCCTCACTGAGAGCCTTCTACACTAATAAATCATGTATTTGGTCAAGAAATACAAGCAAACAAAACTTATTTATATAAAATTATTACCAGCACTTAAAATGGGAAAAAATCTTTTAGAACAGATAGGAAATTATAGCTCCATAAGTAAGTATTATCCAAGCAAGACTCCATTTCTATTTGAATTCGTGTATATCACAGGAAAAAAAAAAGTGAATGGATTTGTTTTTTGATGCCAAATTCACTGCTTTTTTGTTTGTTTGTTTGTATTTTGTGGGGTGGACAGGCATCTTTACAGGAGACCCTGGATATAGTGCTATTGCCACGGGAACTGTACAGGGAGAAGTTGCTGGAAGAAGAGCGTCAACAACAAGAGGCCATGGCAGCAGAAGAAACAGCCCTTAAACAAGAGCAGGAGAAGAAAAGTCCTGACCACCCAAAAAAAAAAGGAAAAGGAGGGAAAAAAAAGTGACTGTAGGAAGCCAAACATTTCCCTTATTCAGGCTAATGAGCAATTGTGTATATTTATGAGACAAAATATTAGGCCAGTTGAAAGTATGGTTTTATAAGCATTTTTGCAGAATTCCCTAAGCATTTATAGTTTTTATCTTAATTTTTTCCCCCTAATTTTAGCCTTACATGTATATGATGTTCTAATTTAAATTAAACTGTCATCAAAAGTATTTATATTATAAAGGAATTATCTCCCCCAATCTGAGATGTTGGTCTTTCTTTTTAGACAAAAAATCCTAGTCAGAAACAGGTACTGGAACATTTTCAACAACTATGAGGAACTAAATGCTATTTTAAAAAGTCCAAATATCTTTTTTGACTTAAAGATATTTAAGATATTCAAGAATTTCTACATGATGGAAATTTTTCTCCCTCTCTAGTTTTTTTTTCCTTCAATTTGTCCAGCTGTAGGACATCAAAGTGTCTATATGCAGGCTTTTTCATCTAGCAGTTATTTGAATATGTATCCTTGCATGCAGACTTGCCTTTTGAAGTATTTTAAATTAGCATTATTCTGACCTATTATAAGTGTAGACCTTAAAAAAATGGCCTGACAGACCATTATTTCAATGGTCTCAAACCTGTTTACCTATTATAGCATTTCTTGATTCTTTCCCAGCCAGTTTCCCTTTTTCTCTCAAATGTATTCAAGCTTCTTATTGATTTACTAATGGAACCCTCTAATGACAGATAATATTCCATGGCAAGCTTATGTCTTATTCCAACATGACAGACTATGGAAAAAAATGGTTTTCTAAACTATTTCTTCTTCATGTCTATTTTTATTATTGTTGATTTTAAAAAAATTCTGTTTCTTTTGGAGATTACTTTGAAGCATTTATGCTAGCTCATATAAATCATGTGGCTAAATTAATTAGCTGTTGGATCTTCACTGGTACAAATATTCACATGAAACAGGTTTTCAAATATCCAAATCTGTTCCTTTGTTACATAATACTTACAGAAAATAAATCGACTACTCTTCTGTATTGAATACAATCAGTCAATCAATAAGCATTTATTAAGTGCTTATAACAGGTATTGAACTAGATAATGGAGTACTAAGACAAACATGAAACAGTCCCTGCCTTCAAGAAACATGTGTTCTACTGAGGGACAACACACACACACACACACGTATATGTATATACATAAAAAATCCAAAATGTTCACACCGGGTTAAATGTTTGGAGAGCTCAAGAAAAATGTCTAGCTTTATGATTGAATCAAGAATTTGTCTTTTTTGTCCAGCCAGTTTCAGAGAGTTGAATTACTTTATCACTAGCTTATTTTTTCATCTCTATGGAAAATAATGCCTAAAAGGTTTGAATGACATGGAGACAAATTGGTGCAGCAATCTAACTTTTGGAAAAGGTAAATTTATTTATACCCAATATCTATATATATATATACTGGTAAAGATTTTTAATATCTTGTATCTGTTTCTTTGCATTCAAAGCAAATGATACTAAGAAAAACATAACTTCAGTCTATAACCTTAAAATTGACTGCTCACTCCTAAGACAGACTTGTTCATCTTCATTTTAGTTAAACTATTTCCAGTCACAGGTGTATTTTCATTGAATAAATACATTACATATTGAGGCTTTTTACATGTTTAGGAGCCAGAGGATAAAACATTTCCTGTCTTTTTCACTTTTCTGATATAGTCACAGATGGCAGCATCACACTACATAATATGCTATCTTCTGGAAATTTTTATATATATATGACAAACTCAGTTTCACCAGATATATCTCCCTATAAGTTTAATCCCATGTTAGTTACTTTTTATAAATTCAAAGTCTATTCATTGTCATAAAAATTTGTTGAACTCAGTTATATAAACATGTCTCCTTCTAATAAGGGCTAGCCAACAGGTATCTTAACAGATATTCACTGATTATCTTATAAAAACTGCTGATTTATGCCTGAGAATTCTGAAAGAAAAAGGCTTTTATTCAATTATAGAATAGATAATGGATAATAGGTGAGATGTTAAAATAATATATTTTTTGTTTTCATTGAACTTGAGCTAATTTTTTAAACTGTGGTACAAACCCCAAATCATCCACAAAATTACCAGAGACCAAAATATGCCATCAGAAAACTAAATACATGGGGGCAGCTAGGTGGCACAGTGGATAGAGCTCTGGCCGTGGGGTCAGGAGGACCTGAGTTCAAATTTGACACTAGCTGTGTGACCCTTGGCAAGTCACTTAATCTCATTGCCTCACCAAAAAATCAAAACAAAATAAAAAAGAAAAGAAAACTAAATACATGATCAAAATTCAAAGATCTTACTCTCAGTTCCAAGTTCAAATTCCAGCTTAATTTTGTTCAGTCATTAAATGATGTTGGTTTAACTGTTAGAAGTAGCTTTCAGACTGGTAAGTGATTTTGATATCTATGACAAACTATTATTTACAATCACAATAATTTAAAATTATATATAATGCTCTTCAGTTACAAGGCACTTTCATTTCATTATTTTGCTTGATCCTCATAAGAGATGTACAAAGTGGATTATGAAATTATCGCTCATCTTTTGAAAATGGTGGGTGAAATAAGGATGTCCATTATCACCACTGTTGTTCAATATGGTACTAGAAATGTTACCTTTATCAATAAGAGAAGAAAAAGAAATTTAAGGTATTAGAATAGGCAAAGAAGAAACAAAGCTATTACTCTTTGCAGATGATATGATGATATACTTAGAGAATCCTAGAGAATCAAGTAAAAAACTACTTGAAATAATTAACAACTTTAGCAAAGTTGTAGGTTATAAAATAAACCAGCATAAATCATTGGCATTTCTATATGTTACCAACAAAGCCCAACAGCAAGAGATAGGAAGAGAAACTACATTTAAAGTTACTATAAACATAAAATATTTAGGATATCTGCCGAAACAAACCCAGGAACTATATGAGCACAATTACAAAACACTTTTCACACAAATAAAGTCAGACCTCAGTATTTGGAAAAACATCAGTTGCTCATGGGTAGGCTGAGCTAATAAAATAAAAATGATAATTCTACCTAAGCTAATTTACTTATTCAGTTCCATACCAAACTGCCAAAAATTATTTGATAGAGCTAGAAAAAATAATAAGAAGATTCATTTGGAAGAACAAAAGGTTCAGAATATCAAGGGAACTAATGAAAAGAAATGCTAGGGAAGGTGGCCTAGCCGTTCAAGATCTTAAATTGTATTATAAAGCAGCAATCATTAAAACTACTTGGTACTAGGTAAAAAATAGAGTGGTGAATCAATGGAATAGGTTAAGTGTGCAAGACACAGTAGTCAATGACTATAGTAATCTACAGTTTGATAAACACAAAGACCCTACCTTCTGGGATAAGAACTTGCTATTTGACAAGAACTGCTGGGAAAACTGGAAAAGAAGGCAGAAACCAGGCATAGATCAAAATTTTACAGCATATACCATAATAAAGTCAAAATGGGTACATGATTTAGATATAAAGGCTGATACTATAAGCAAATTGGAGAGCAAGAAATAGTTTACCTGTCAGATTTATGGAGAACAGAAGAATTTATGACCAAACAAGATATAAAGAACATTATGAAATGCAAAATGTATAATTTTGATTACAATAAATTGAAAAGCTTTTTGCACAAAGCCAATGCAGCCAAGATTAGGAGGGAAGCAGAAAACTGGGAAAGACTTTTTACAACCAGTGTCTCTGATTAGGGCCTCATTTCTAAAATATATAGAGAACTAAGTCAAATTTATAAGAATACAAGTCAATCCCCAATTGATAAATGGTCAAAGGATATGAACAGGCAGTTTCAGATGAAAAAATTAAAGCTGTATATATTCATATGAAAAAGTGCTCTAAATTACTATTGATTAGGGAAATGCAAATCAAAACAACTCTCAGGTACCACATCATACCTATCAGACTCTCCAACATGACAAAACAGGAAAATGAAAATGAAAAATGTTGGAGAAGATGTGGGAAAATTGGAACACTAATACATTTTTGGTGGAGTTGTGAAATGATCCAACCATTATGGAGAACAATTTGAAACTATGCCCAAAGGGCTATAAAAATGTGCTTACCCTTTGACCCAGCAATAGCACTTCTAGGGCTACATCCCAAAGAGATCATAAAAATGGGAAAAGGACCCACATGTGCAAAAATATTCATAGCAGCTCTTTCTGTGGTGGCAAAGAATTGGAAATTGAGGGGATGCCCAACAATTGGGGAATGGCTGAACGAGTTATGGTACATGAATGTAATGGAATACTACTGTGCTATAAGAAATGATGAGCAAGCAGACTTCAGAAAAACCTGGAAAGACTTGTATGGACTGATGCTGAGTGAAGTGAGCAGAACTAGGAGAACATTGTACATAGTAACAGCCATGTTGTGCAATGATAACTTTGATAGACTTACCTCTTCTCAGCAATACAAGGATCTAAGACATCTGCAAAAGGAATGCTTTCCACATTCAGAGAATGGAGTTTGAGTGAAGATTGAAACATATTATTTGTTCTTTTTTTCTTCTGTTTTGTTTTGTTTCCTCTTTCTGGTAGTTCTCCTATTGGTTCAAATTCTTCTTTACAACATGACTAATGTGAAAATAAGAAAAAGTGATTACCAGGTGGGAGCAGAATAAATAGTGTTTTATACCTTAAAAATAATGAAGCTGAGGCCTGAGAAGCAGAGGTGCCTTGCTCAAGGTTACACAACCTGTCAGTGGTATCTCTGAGAATAAAGAATAGAGCCCTGCTTCTCTCTTTTCTCTATTGCTAGCTCAAATTCATGCAAGGTCCAAAAATAATAATAGTTAGAATATAGGTTATAACTGGCTTATTGATTGTTTGGAGAAATGCAAATTGAAACAATTCTGATGTACTACCTCATATCTATTAGATTTGCTTATAGGACAGGAAAGGTAAATGACGAATGTTGGAGGGGATGTGGGAAAAATGAGACTTTAATGCACTGATGGTTGAGTTGTGAATTGATTCAACCATTCTGTAGAGCAATTTGGAACTATGCCCAAAGAGCTATAAAACCATGCATACCCTTTGACCTAGGTCCATATCCCAAAAAGAGATAAAAAAACAAAAAAGAGAAGAAACTATATGTACAAAAAATTTTTATAGCAGCTCTTTTCTGGAGATAAAGAATTAGAAGTTGAGGGGATGCCCAGCAGTTAGGGAATAACTGAACAAGTTACGGTATGTGATTTTAATGGAAGACTATTGTACTATAAGAAATGATGAGCAAGATACTCCAGAAAAACCTGAAAAGGCTTGCATGGGCTGATGCAAAGAGAAATGTACTGTGTACAAAGTAACAGTAATATTGTAAGATGATCAACTGTGAATGACTTAGCTATTCTTACCAATACAAAGATCCAAGACAACTCTGAAGGACTTATGATGAAAAATGCTATCCATCCCCAGAGAAGGAACTGATGGTTCTGAATACAAATTGAAACACACTTTTATTTTTCTTGAGGTTTTTTGTTGTTGTTGTTTATATTTTCTTTTACAACATGACTATTATGAATGTTTTGCATGACTACATATGTATAACCTATATTGAATTGCTTGCCTTCTCGATGAGAGGGGGGTTGGGCAGGGAGGAAGAGAGAGAATTTGGAACTCAAAGTTTTAAAAATGAATGTTAAAAATTGTTTTTACATATAACAGGGGGAAAATAAAATACTAAATAAAGAAGAAAGTCAAAAAGCTTCATAATTTGCCCTGTATTTTCTACTATATGTTATACTTTAATTTGTATAGAATTTTGTGTATTATGCAAACTGGAGATAAGTCATTTACAAAGTGTCTTGGTTTTACATTTGAAGATTAGTTGTGATGTGAAATAAGTCTCAGATGCCAAGACTAATAGGTGACTGACTATTGCTTACAATGTAGAGTGTCTGAAATAGCTCATCATACTT